AATCAATAGCCAGCTATGTTTAAACAATGTCATCTTAAAAAAGTACATGAATTAAGGAAAAGCTGATTATTTAAAACAGCATGTTTGATTGCTTTTGTTATATATTAATATGTGTAATAAATAATATTGAGATCAAGAAAAATTATTATCTTGATGTGTTGTAAGATAAGAAATACATTAAGGCCTGATGCAGTAGCTCATACCTATAATCCCAGTTACTTGAAAGATGACAGTCAGGAGAATGGTTCCAGACCAGCATAGGCAAAACGTTATCAAGACTCCCATCTCAACCAATAACGAATGGTGGTACAGATCTGTAATCCCAACTATGCCAGAAACTGTAAGGAGGAGGATTGAATTTTGAGGCTGGCCCTGGGCAAAAACATGAGCAAGACAGTAGGTAAAAATAGAGCAAGCTAGGCACTGGTTGTCCTTGCCTGTAATCCTAGTACTGAGGAAGCTGATATGAAGGAGATTGCAGTTAAAGGCAGCTCAGACATACACATACGCTATCATCTAACAATAATGAATACCGAGATTAGGAAGACCACAGATCAGGGAGAGCCCAGTCTGAAAAGCCCATGAGACTCCATGTCAGTGGAAGAATCTAGACATGATGGAGCATATCTATCATTCCAGCTATGGCAGGAAATGAAAAATAGGAGTATTGTGGCCAAGCACAGGTCTAGACAGGAAGTAAGGCCCTGTCTCAAAACTAAACAGTACAAAAAATAGCCGGAGGTATGGCTTAGCTATAGAGCACCAGCCTGTGAGATTCTGAGTTCAAACTACTAATAATAGTAATAATAACAAAAGCAAAAAAAAGGCTGTGGCATAACTCAAGTAGTAGAGTGCTTATCTAGCAAGCAGGAGGTCACAAGTTCAAACTCCAGTACTGCCGAGGGAAAAAGGAAAGGAGGGAGGGAGGAAGAAAGAGAAGAAAGTAAAGAGGAAAAAAGGAGAAAGGGAAAGAAGGAAAGAATGGAGGGAGGGGACCAACAGTCTCTTCAACAAATGGTCTCGAAAAAACTGGATATCCATATGTAGAAGACTAAGACAAGAGCCCTATATTTTTACCATGTACAAAAATCAATTCAAAATGAATCAAAGATCTTGAAAATTTGAAACTTTGAAATTACTATGGAAAAATAGTTGAAGATATAGACATAGGAAACTACTCTCTGAATTGAGTTCACATAAAAGCAAGAATTAACAAATAGGATTGCATTAAATTTTTTTAAAAATTCTGACCATCAAAGGAAATTATTACTAGAATGAAGAGACAACCCACAAAATGGGAGAAAAATCTTTGAAAGCTAGTCATCAAACAAAAGATTAACACCCAGAATATATAAAGAGCTCAAAAAAACTAAACACCAAAAGTACAAATAATCCAATTTAAAAATGGACAAACAAACTGAACAAACAATTCTCAAACACAAATGGCTAGTAAATACATGAGGAAATGTTCAACATCAAAACAATGCCCATTCAGAATGGCAATCATCAAGAAAACAAACAAGAGAAAATGCTGACAAGGATACAGGAGGCAAGGAGGAAGAACTCTCTCAAACTCTTGGTTGGAATATAAAGTAGCACAGTCACTGTGGAAATCAGTATAGAGTTTCCTCCAGAAACTAAAAGTAGAACTGCCATAAGATCTTGTTGCACCATCTTTGGCATGTATCCAAAGGAATTTAAGTTAACACAGAACAGGGGTACCTGTACACCCAAATTGACATCAGTAGTATTAGAACAAGTAAGATAAGGGATCATCTTAGGTACCCAGCAACCAATGATCAGATAAAGAAAATGTAGTACATGTATACAATGGAGTATTGTTCAGTAATTAAAGAATGAAATTGAATCATCTAAAGGAAGAATGTATGGAACTGGAGATCATCATGTTATGTGAGATAAGCCAAGCTCAGAAAGACAAATTTTGCATTGTTTTGCTCATAAATGGAATCTTAACCAATAATGATAATTGTAATAATAAAACATGATTGCAAAAGGTGGGCTCTGTGTGGAAGGAACAAGTGCGGGGGGGGGGGGGTGTGAGGGAGGAGGGGAACACAATAGAAGTATATTGTGTATATGTATAAAAATAGCATAACGAAATGCACTAAAAACTGTTAAAAAAAAAAAAAGGATGAGGGAAGAAGGGAGAAGAGTTAAGGAAATGTAATATAGACAAGATGGATTCGATCAAGTATGTACATCATCTGTAAATATCACAATGAAATCTCTTTCTATAATTACTTTATACTAATAAAAATTTTAAATAGAAATTAAGTTCTTAAAAAAAAAAAACTAAAGAGATCTGAACGTAACTTTGGCTTCAACATTCCACTCAACCAAAGTCAGATAGACTGCAGCATGAATGTGGAGGTGTGGCTCAGATAGTAGAATGCCAGCCTGGAGCAAAAAGCCAAGGAAGAGTGGGAGGCCCTACACTCAAGCCCCAGTACTGGGGTTTGATAGAGTGATAATTATACCAGGTGAATAAAACATAGTATAGGGGAGTCATGTTTACTAATTTAAAGCACATAAAGTATATAAAACAATGTTTAGAATGCTCAATAAATGCTATTGTTCCTAACGTGTTTATAATGTACCATGTGATTTTTTTGTTTCTTTTGTATGTTCTTCCCCCATGGTATAATGCCTGTTTTCACTGTATTTGATTCCAGTGCCCTGGATCTTGTATATACACTTCTCTAGCTTGGGGAGGGGAAGGGAAAAAACAAAATACTTAAATAGGGATACAGTTGACCCATTGTAACAATGAGATGTACCAAGACACCATGTTGAAAAACGAACTTTACAATTTAGGCTAGGGGTAGGTAGTTGTGGAGGTGGGAGGGAAGGGAGGGGAGGGGAAAAACAAAGGAGGAGGTAACAATGCTTGATAGGAAATGTACTCATGACCTTGCTCATGTAACTGTAACCCTTCTGTACAGTATTTTTACAATAAAAATGTATTAAAAATATATTTAATAGAAAGTAATAGATGGAAACATTTCAGATATTCCTAGATGAATTTAGTGCCCTTAAATAAAATTAGTCTCAATAATGACATCTTAGCCAGATGAGAGTCTATGGGATAGACAAAGAGAGGTAAGTCATGCTTGATTCTGTCAATGGATGGGGGAAAAAAAAATCATCCCTGGATTATTTTAAGGAAAGACTTACATACATATATTCCATGGCTTATAAAAACAAAACAAAGGAAGAAATTACAAAAAGACCTTATATTTATGCTGTTGTTGTTGGTAGTGGTGGTGGTGGTGGTGGTGTTTATGTGTGCTTTTTTTTTTCTTTTCCTGCTTCTTAGAGGGAATAAAAAGGTGTGCAGAAAGAAATGGAAGAAGGGTGAAAAAATCCCAATATTCAGTATACACCATGTGGAAAATGAACTGTGCAACTAGTGAGCAGGGATGAGATGAGGGAACAGGGGGAAAGTAACAGAAGGGGCAACATTGTCCAAAAGAGAAATGTGCTCATTACCTGAATTGTGAAATAGCAACCCCTCTGTACAATACCTTACTAATAATAAAATTATGTATTTTAAAGACTTTATATATTAAGATATTAATACTTCACAACTTCTTTGTGGTTATTGTCATTGTTGCTGGGGGAGGGGGTGTAAATGGGATTTGAACTCAGAGCCTTCTGACTCCAGCTCTACCTATACTGCTCTGAATTCAAAACAAGTAATGACTGCAAAAAAGAGTTGAGGTTATTCTATCACAGTTTATCCCAACATACAGCAGTATTTCCTGAAGAATTAACTAAAAGAAGATCTGCTGGGACAGAATGTATAAGCCTACCAGTCCCTTTGTGGGTTTTTTTTTTATAATTTTGTTTTATTTTTTGTTGGTTGTGAGGCTGAACTCTGTGCTTGGGCACTGTCCCCTAGCTCTTTAGCTCATGGCGAGCATGTTACCACTTGCGCCACAGGGCCACTTCTGGTTTTCTGGTGGTTAACTGGAGATAGGAGTCTCACGGACTTTCCTGCCTAGGCTGGCTTTGAACTGTGATCCTCAGATCTCAGCCTCCTGAGTAGTTAGGATTACAGGCGTGAGCCACTGGCACCAAGCAGTCCATTTGTTTTGAAATGGATCTTTCATTTACTAGGCTTTCCTATTCTGTTGTTTTTGTTTTTGTTTTTGCTTTAATGCTGTCCACATAGTTTTCCACAAGAGTCCATGTTTCAATCTAACCAACCACATCATGGCTATTTATCTGTTTTTTTTTAAGAACATCCCAATGAACCATCAATGGAGATGGATTGCTACTGTCTCAAATCACTCTCTCACTGTCCAACTCTAGTGCATATAACAAATCAGAGACAACATCGGACACCTCAAACAACAGGTTTGCAACCATAGCTACTTATATATTCCAGGGGTGGGGGGAAGAAAGCCTGTGCCATGTGTACATATCTAATATAAGCCCTCTAGCACTATTAGAACTTCATGGTCGAGTCTAATGGAACATTCCATTTAACAGCAGAATTATTCCATGATCCTGCAAAGGTAATTTTGGCTGAATAATATAATAAAGAGGCAAAATGTGTTCACTACCTAGTCTATTGATTTTTGCTAGCAGGTTATTGTTTTCCATGGGGTCATATTAAGAGTTGGGTTTCAGTACATCTAGACACACTTCTATTTTATTTGGATAAGTCATTCACTTTTCTGGGTTGCTTTCTTTTTTGGGGGGGCTGGGGGGGGTCCAGTCGTGAGGCCTGAACTCTGGGCCTGGGTGCTGTCCCTCAGCTCTTCAGCTCAAGGCTAGCGCTCTACCACTTGAGCCACAGCGCCACTTCCGGCTTTTTTTCTTATGTGGTGCTGGGGAATCGAACCCAGGGCCTCATGCATGCAAGGCAAGCGCTCTACCACTGATCCACCTTCCCAGCCCTCTGGGTTGCTTTCTTTTTATCCCCATAGGTTCATGACGAGGAAACCTGTGAACCCAGTAAGAAGGATACCTACCTCAGGGCCTGTGATATGCATCAGACCAGAAATAGCAGAGGCAACAGCATCGTAACCAGCTCGCTGAGACATGGGTCCTGTCTGGCCATAGCCTGAAACAAGAATAGAAATTATCCACACTGGGCAGGGTGCAGAAGTGTGGCACAACCATTTGTCTTCCCCTCGTACTGCAGCTTCTGTTCCTGTTAAGAGCTCCAGGGCCCCTTGATGAAGGAAGTAAGGATTAACCAACAAGTCAAAACCTGACTTTCTGGCCATAGGCAGCAAGGTTTCGATTAGGAAGGCACAGAGTGTTGAAAAATAATTTTACTAAGATGCTAAGGATCAAAAATTAAGAAATAAAGCCAGGCACCCGTGGCTCACGCCTGTAATCCTAGCTACCCAGGAGGCTGAGAATTGAGGAGAAAACCTGAAGTGGTACCATGGCTCAAGTGGTAGAGCGCTTGACTTGAGCTGAAGAGCTGACAGACAGTGCCCAGGCCGAGTTCAGGCCCCATGACTGACAAAAAAAAAAAGCAAGAAATAACATAAAATGCAAATTTCTGGCTTTCCTAGAAAAAAAAATCAGATGATGCATACATCCTTCTATGACAATAATCCACTTGGAGGAACAACTCTCAGTTACATTATAGAATTCTTTTTTTTAATTTTTATTTTTATTTTTATTTTTTTTGAACATACTGTAGAGAGGGGTTACAATTACATGGCAAGATAATGAGTACATTTCTTATCAAGCATTGTTGCCTCCTCCTTTGTTTACCCTTCACATCCCTTCCCAGATTTCCCCCCCCCATCCTCCCCCCTCCCCCCCCCCACCAAAGTTGTAAAGTTCGTTTTCGATATGACAACTTGTACTTCTCATTGTTGCAACAGGTCCACCTGTATCCTTAAACGACTTGTTTTTCCCCATCTCCTCCACAAATTATACCGACATCAAATATAGTGAAAGCAGGGGTTATACTGTGGGGGAGGGACATACAAAGCAACAAAGAAATAATCTTATAAATGAGTTAGAAACAAATGCATGAAAGAAAAAAACATTAAAATACGTATCTAAGGGTTCATTTTCCTCACATCACATTATCTGACCTTTTCTGCTTGACTCATACATATACTAGATATTGCAAATAGGGGAAACCATGGGACCTATGTTTCTTTGGGCTTGGCTTACTTTACTTAATATAATTTTTCCAAGTCTTTCCATTTCCTAACAAATAGGGCAATGTCATTCTTTCTGATGGAGGCATAGAATTCCATTGTGTATATATACCACATTTTCTTGATCCATTCATCTACTGAGGGGCATCTGGGTTGGTTCCATATCTTAGCTATGGTAAATAATGCTGCAATAAACATAGTTGTGCTGGTAGCTTTAGTGTGGTCTTGTTTGTAAACATTTGGGTAAATGCCTAAAAGTGGGATTGTTGGGTCATAGGGGAGCTCACAACTGCCCAACAAATAAGTGGGCTAAAGACTTGAAGAGAAACTTCTCTGAAGAAGAAAGAAGGATGGTCAATAGACACATGAAGAAATGCTCAACCTCCCCAGCCATAAAAGAAATGCAAATCAAAACAACATTGAGATATCACCTCACTCCAGTTAGAATGGCAAAAATCAAGAACTCTAACAACAACAGATGCTGGAGGGGATGTGGACAGAAGGGAACCTTACTTCATTGTTGGTGGGAGTGTAAACTTGTTCAACCACTTTGGAAAGCAGTATGGAGGTTCCATTATAGAATTCTCTACCACTCCTTATTCTTAACAATTCAGCCTCTTCACCCTTTTACTTACGTTCCAGACCCTCCCTCAATAAGCATATGATACTTTCCATCTGTACAATAAAGCCAGATAGTATCTTCTGAAATTCTGCTTACATATTTTCACAAGAGTGTAAAACTATAAATGACAAAAATTTGAACATAACTTTTTATTACTTCTCACAGTACTGCTGTATGGAGTTTTTAACTATTTTTTGTCTTTTCTTTTTTGGTACTGGGTATGGAACCCAGGACGTTGTATTTGTAAGCCAGTGCTTTGCCACTGAGCTACATCTTAACCCCTGACAATATGTCTTTGTGTGTGTGTTCGTGTGTGCACATGTGTGTGTGGGGGGGGTGTCAATCATGGGACTTGAACTCAGGTCCTGGACACTGTTCCTGAGCTTTTTTGCTACTTGAGCCAAAACTCCACTTCTGGCTTTTTGGTGGTTAATTGGAGATAAGAGTCTCAGGGACTTTCCTGCCCAGGCAGGTTTCAAACCATGATCCTCACATCTCAGCGCCTCTTGAGTAGCTAGAATTACAACCATGAGCCACTAGCACCTGGATAAAAGTGTTTTTAAGGTGTTTCTCTGTGTCTGTCTGTCTCTCTCATCTCCTCTCTCTGTATCTATCTCTCTCTTCTCTCTTTCTCTTTCTCTCTCCTCTCTTTCTCTCTCTCCTCTCTCTCTCTCTCTCTCTCTCTCTCTCTCTCTCTCTCTCTCTCTCTCTCTCTCTCTCTCTTTCTCTCTCTGCCTTTTGGCGGTATAAGGAGACATCAGCATAAACCAAGATAAAATGAGAAACCTTTCCTCCTGCTCTTAGTCTTGCTGTATACTTACTATTTACTACTAAAGAGTATATCAGGAGCTATATGAATCTCTCCAAATCCCATTTACCAGACAGAGAGTAAACTAGTCAAGAGCCACCCAGCCCCATCTGCTTTTCGGGAATATACACACTGTATATACACACTGCTTTAATTAATTTTGTGTGTGTATGTGCATGCATGTTGGCGTACATCTGTGTATGTGTGCTGGTCATGGGACTTGAACTCAGGGTCTGGGTGCTGTCCCTGAGTTTTTGTACTCAAGGCTAACACTCTACCATTTGAGCCACAACTCCACTTCTGGCTTTTTAATTGGAGATGAGTCTCACAGACTTTTCTGCCCAGGCTGACTTTGAAATGTGATCCTCATATCTCAGCCTCCTGAATAGCTAAGATTACTGGTGTGAGCCTCCTGTGCCCAGTTTACATGCTGCTTTAGAAATAACAAGAAAGGGTGAGCCAAGGGCTTTGCTTCATGGGCCACTTGGACTGTTCCCTCAACACATGTGAAGGTATAACAATGAAATGTCCTGCTGTATACTTGATAAATGCCAATAAAAAAGTTTAATGGGATAGGAAGGGACCATAAGGGAAATAATTATTTTCTCTGTTCAGAAGTAGAGAAATGTATGCTGAGCCTTAGAGAATGAATCTGAGGGCAGCTAGTTTGCATTTGCAAGTGGTGCCCTTGTCCAGACTTCCAGTCTTCAACACAATGGTTCCCAGCATAGAGCAGGCCTCCAGGAACACAAAAAAGCTGCACCATAAGGCAGGAAGCTGTGTGTTCCATGAACCACCTGTTATCTCAACAGGAAGTCCAGAGAAGTGTTAAGTTTCTCCAGGTTAGAGAAATCACTAGGTGCATCTCACCAGAAGCCCAAAACCCTCAAATGGTACCAACTAAGAGCCCTCCTCTCCCCCACCCCTTTACCCAATCAGCACAGCTCCAAATGGAGTCTTCTAAATAAAAGCCTGCAGGAAAATATGCTCAGAAAAACAAACAGCTTACAAAATGCCTTGTGATACAAATTCTGTTTTTGTTTAGCTTACAACAACTGGGAAGCATAAATATCCTAATTACTTTCAATTGCCACCTCCAAGTAGTTCCTATTAAAGAGATGTATAAATAGTTGCTTATTTCACTAGTGAAGTGGAAAAAAAGAAGGAGTTGTACATTTGAATTGTACATTCAAATTATGGCTTTCCAACTACTAAATCTTCAAATATTCATTTCATCTCCTTGAGCCTCAATGTATTTATTTGTCAAACAGCAATAATCACATCACAATCTTGGTTTTATTGTAAGAATTCAGTTTGATTTTATATATATACATATGTGCACACAACACACACACATACATAACACACAGAGAGGCACTGGAAGCTCATGCCTGTAATACTAGCTATTAAGAAGGCTGAGATCTGAGGATCACGGTTGGAAGCCAGCCCAGGCAGCAAAGTCCATGAGACTCTGATCTCCAATTAACCACCAGAAAACTGGAGCTGTGGCTCAAAGTGGTAGAGCATTACCCTTGAGCAAAAAAACTCAGGGACAGTTTCCAGGCCCTGAATTTAAGCCCTGTGACAAAATGTGTGTGTGTGTGTGTGTGTGTGTGTGTGTGTGTGTGTGTGTGCGCACGCGCATGTGTGTGTACATATATATAAAATACATTTCAAAACCACTGAGCATTGAGTATGCATTAATCAATGAATATGTATCTATCTATAAAATACTATATCATTTTATATTGTTCATAAAATATAATAACAACAAAAGTCCCTCCAGAGATGTTGAAATGATGAGAATAGATAGTCCAAGCCTATTATTATGTTAATAAGTTATACAATTTGAAATTTTTAGGGTCAGGTGTACTGGTGCATTCCTATAATTCCAGCTCCAGGAGAGGCAGAGGTAACATGGTAACAATGTAAGTCTGGCCTGGAAAAAGCTCAAGATCTTATCTGAAAAATAAACTAAACGCACAAAGCATTGGGGACATAATTCAAGTTGTGAGCCTGAAAATCTCAGTACCACAAAATAAAACAATTTAGTTGGGTGTTATGGAGCACACCTGTAGTCCTAGCATTCAATAAGCTAAGGTAGGAAGACCTAGAGTTTAAGGCTAACCTAAGCTATGTAGCATGATTCTGACTGGAAAACAAAGCAATTGAAATGTTTTGTTTGGGGAAGTTATATTTGCGCAATAAAGAGAGAAATGAGGGGCTGGGAAGGTGGCTCAGTGGTAGAGCGCTTGCCTTGCATGCATGAGGCCCTGGGTTCGATTCCTCGGCACCACATAAGCAGAAAAAGCCAGAAGTGGCGTTGTGGCTCAAGTGGTAGAGTGTTAACCTTGAGCTGAAGAGCTGAAGGACAATGCCCAGGCCCAGAGGTCAGGCCCCACGAAAAAAAGAGAGAGAAATGACAATAATAATAAATATCTCCATAATATGAATCAAAAATTATTCTTCCTTTTCAGCTTATACTTACTTTAATTACTTGAATA